TTCCTAAATCTCCAACATGACGCACACTGTCATTTGGACCACCATGATCTTTTCCTAGTGGATTGAAATGAGCGCCTGCACTCGTGCAACCTGTAAAAATAGAAAAGATAAAGCACTACTTAATGTTTTGAATTTATTCTTAAAAATAGTACAATAAAAAAATAATTATAATTTACGCCATTTCTTTTTAATTGCTAGTTATATATTCATTCAACAATAAATTGATATTTTTTTCTGCTCAAAGAGAGACAAGAATATTTTAATATACAATATATATAAATTGTTAAAATAAAATATTTAAATATTAAATTATCACTTAAATAAACAATTAAAAATACTGACCTCTTGTAACAAATTAAATTTGAGTAGTGTATGATATATTTTCATTACTTAATATTATAAGTAAAAAGTTAACTTCAGGTCAAAGTTTTTTAAATGATTAAATAAACATATTTGAAAACAGTAGTAACAATTTAGAAATTATAATAAGAAAAATATCAAAAAAAAGTTAGCTTGAAACTTAGCTCCTGCTGATTCATTGCAGCCATCTTAGATTGTGACATAAAAAACAAGAAAAATAATATATAAAGAAAATTCTTACAAACACTAAATTAAAATGTATTTTTAAAACAACATATACTATAGATAGAATAGATTTATAAAATATACAGAAATTCCATTGTATTACAATAATCTATAAATAACCATATATTATTGAAATTAAATTATGCTTACTCAGATAACGATATAACAAGCTACATGACAGCTGTCGAATTGATATAAATATGATTTTATTCTATTATGAGGAGTTTTCAGTTAATTTTACGAGTGTACTCTAATCAAATGCAAACATTGTTTTATTGAAAAATATTTCCATTTTGATGTTTACTTTTTGCAAGAATTTTCAATACATATTTTCTCACTTTTGACGTCATCTAAACATAGTGGTTCAGAAGATCAAAACTTGTAACTAAAAAGATATAAACAAATACTAAGACATCATATATGTCTACTGTTCACTCTGGCTCTTATTTGCAGCAAGTAAATAGATATTCGCTTTTCTTAGTGCTGAGCATGTCTCTAGAGCCATATCAGATATTCTTTCTTAACTAACTCGTTATAAACTTTATCAAAGTCACAAATAAGATAAGTTTGATAAAAACGTTATAATTTCAAACTTTTATCAATTCTGGGAAATTTCATCATAATTTTGAATGACAAACCAACAAATTTTTGTTGAGAAAAATTACAGACTCAAAGACATGTAAATTATATATTTTAACATTCTACTTCTTATTTTTACATTTTACAAATTATTTTATTGGCTACTAAATATCTAAAGATAAATTTAAGGAAGCCTTAAATATAAAGTCTGACATTAATGTCTATAAATATAGACATTAATATCTGAATTATGTTATATACAAAAATTTGACTAGTTTTAAATGACTAACCAGCAAATCTGTTGCGAAATTATTAAGAAAGGAAAATTACAAATTCAAAGATATATAAATTAGATTTCAAATTAATTTTAAATTATGTAATGTCTCAGATATGCCATGTAACATCTGAGTACTCTTATCAAATCTGACTCAAATGTACCATTGGTGTTGTCGCCAAATTCATGAACGTGAAAACCATGTAGGCCTTTCTGCAAGCCGGAAACTTGTCCAGATACCTTGACTGTATTTGAACCTTCCTATAATGCAAATTGAGCTTTTATTTTAGTAAGAAAAATGCAAGTAAATATTTTCAGAAATCAAAGTACTATTAACAATTATTAAATGTCATAAAATAAAATTTCCTATCCAGAAGAAATGATGTTCTGACAAATTAAAGAATATAAAAATTATCATGGAACAATTCAGGCAAAAATGTATATCAATTAAGTAAAAAATGGATATATTAGCATAAACAAAAATACTATTGTATCATATCATGTAATACATGAAAAAAATCTTTATTTTTTAAGTTTGCAGTTTAAGCAGTTAAGACATAAGCAGATATCTTTTGAAAAAATATAGCGATTGAGTTAAAAATTTCCACGAGATTGTCACGCTTACGCAGTGAAGAGATGAAGGAAAATTAGAAAAGAACAGAATTTACCGTTTGTTCAAAATACACGGTCCCTTTAACAGGCTCTCCCTGAAGGACACAGACGGCCTTGATCGTCATTATATCACAAATAGTATTCTTAGCTATTTAAGCTTGCCCGAATGAATTGTTGACAACGTTGATCAACGTTGACGACAGACTACACGATAACTCACAAGAATTAAATAATCAAACTGCTGAATCACGTCGGCTGATACGCAAAACTTGGCGAATTTAAAATGATAACATGGCCGACAAATTCGCTTGATCATATGCGCTTTGACACCGAGCGTAATTGGTGGAAAAGGGGTGATGGGAGTAAATTTATCCCTATAACTGATCTTTCATCAATCAGTGATCAATGCCAAAGTGCCTCAGTGTCAATAGGCTTGTTCTTTTTTAGTTAAATTTTTGCACCAGTTTATCTTTTTTCCTTTTCTTTCCAGGAGGAATGAAGAGGAAGAAAGATGAACTGGTGCAAAAGTTCAACTAAAAAGAACAGACCTAATAGGTCTATTTTTTTATTGCTGCATTCTGAATCGGTGCAATAAATTAGTTGAATATACATTTGTTTCATTTGAATTCTTATTGCATCAGTTCAGAGTGCAACAATACAAAAAAGATCTAATAGCATTGTTCGTTTTGTCTCTCGGGAGCTGCTCAGGGTCGCTCCGAATGAATCCAGAAGCGTACTTGAAATGTAATAGTGCACATTAAAGCTGTTGTACATTAATCTAGTCTGACTGTAAAAGTGAGAGATCTCAAAATAAAGAGATCTCTAATAAAATACTTAATGTATATTATTATATTTTATCAAATAGCACAATAAAATGTATTAGGATTTCGTGGTTTAATTCGTTTTTATATTTTTATTAAACGTATATCTTTATGTTGATTTGTGTACAAAAGGCTTTAAAGTGCACTCAAGTGCACTGAGTGCGCACCAGGCTCTGCCAGTGAAAAACGCTATAAGGATGAAATCACACGATGGTCCGGAATAGGACTGCGGAATACAGAATGCGTCATTGAAGCAACCAATCAGCGCTATTCTACACTTTTCCAAGTTTTGTGTGCTATGTTTACATGATGCGTCAAAGATATATCCAACATAATTATAATTTAAAAACTACTAATTTTATGTTAATAATTTACTTATTAAAATAAAATATAATTTTTCAAATGTAAAAACAATTATCACTGTTGTAGTATTTAATGTTTTACAATTAATATTTACAATTTTATGACAATTTTTTGAATTGCTTTAACGCATTTACTATCATTTTTCCGCATCGTGTGAACACAGCACACAAAACTGACGTGATGAAAAAGTGCGGAAAAGGGTACACTGAAATCGCCCATAATGCATTATTATTTTTTTGATCTTGGTATCTACATTTATGCACTCAGATTTTGTCATTTTGCTTCATTCGTCTCGACATTACGCAATTCCATCATATCAATTAGCATCAGATTATTTTAACCTCTCAAATATGATGGTTTATTACAAGACAATGACGCACTCGCTATTCTGTAACATCAAATGTGGAATAGTTGTGCATGAGTGATTGTTTCAATGACGCATTCTCTATTCCGCAGTCCTATTCCGCACTGTGTGATTTTATATGTATACAAGTGTAAAATGTGTAAAATGTGTATATTCAAATTTTCAACATTTTTGAAAAAATTTGACATAGGCGACTAATGATCTCCTATTTACTAGTGACAGTACGTTACTGAAGCTACATTATATGCGCATGCGTCTGAAACCGACCTGTCTAACAACATTGCACAAGCCCGTATTCGGAACGCGCTTACAAAACGATGTAGCACGCTAACATATTATACTTTACGTCACGGATATTATAAAATTTCAGAGATAAAAGTGCGCTTTTATCGATAAAAGCGCGTTCTGAATACGGGCCACAGTCCCTTCATTTGTCTTGGCGCGCGGCCGTACGGCGTGGAAGAATACTAGTTGTAGGCGTCCAGTATTTGAAGGGGCGCCTCGCCATTTTCATTTTGATTACATCATCTTTTTGTTCTACTTGCTCGGTTCGACGTGGCCTTTGCATATCAATTTATGATTCGATTATTTTGTTTTTTGAGGAATTCATGTGGAAGATTGAAGGCATATTGGATAAGACTGGTCATGTTAATCAGGCTGCACCTGAATTGGGCCATTCAAATATAGAAGAAGAAGTAGAAGAAGCCATTGCTTGCGTAACGGTTAGAGTAGCTGTCAACGTGATGAACCAAAACATAGAGTGCATAAGAAGTGCATTTTATGTGCCGCGAAAGTTTAAAATTCTAATGGATACCATAAAATTAGGATAAGTAATAAAAGAATAAGTTAAATCTATAATAAGAATAAGTTAGATGATGCATTTTGTACTCATAAAATAAAATTTCTTTTCTTTTTTTTATTGCAAATGGCAGAAGAATACTTTAATGCTCGGGATCATGGCAAAATTCTTTCTCAAAGGAAAGGCAATCTGTTATTTATAACAATGTTATGAGTCGAAGACTCATAAAACTTAAACTTAATCTTTTCTAGCAAATTCATAAATTTTATACTTATTATAATAATTGTATAAATATTTATTATATAACGGAGATATAAACTGATTTTGTAAAGAACATGTCTCAATATAAAAATAGTTTTATTTAAATATAATTATTTAAAGAACATGTCTCAATATAAAAATAGTTTTAATTTAAATATAATTATATACAATAATGTTAAACACTGAGTTTGTTAAAATACTAATTTATGTTATATAATTATTTGAATTAATATTAATATTATTATTTATTATTTATATATTAGGTGTACAACTTTGTTTCCACTATTTTTTTCCGAAATTCGAGGCTTTATTGTAAAAAACTGGTCCTGAGTCGAAAAAACTGGTCATCTTTTGAGGCGATCCACGAATCGATCCAATTTTTTACTTCTTCATAAGAACGGAAGTGCTGGTCAGCCAGCCATGTGCCATTGATCGAAACAAGTGATAATCAGAGGGAGCAACGTCTGGAGAATACGGCGAGTAGGAATTCCCCTTTCAACGATTCCAAGTAT